TTTGTTGGGATTGGAAAAGTTACATGGTAAAGGGTTTATTCATAGGTAAGTTGATGTTTCGAATATTACTTTTTTAATATATTCGAAAAAGAGATATCAAACCTGGTAATATTTTTATTAAAAACATGACGAAACATAATGTTAAAATCATGATAGCAGATTTGGGAGAAGCAAGTAAACTTGATGAAATCAACTCTGAATTATCTGAATATCACTCAGAAGATTTTGAGAGTGAAAGTGAAAGTTCTTATGCAAGTAGTGATGAATATGGCACTAACGGATATAGAGATCCAATTGTATATCAGGGTCTTGGTAAATGGTCAGTAAAAAGTGACATTTGGAGTTTTGGTAAGTTTGGTGCTTATAACTTTATTAACCTTATAAGGAGTTACTTTATTAAGAGTTATTTTTTCTGATGAAATGCCAATATTTGAAAAAGAAAAAGTTTGCCCTAAAGACTATATTGAAAAGGAATTTGAAAAATTGTTTACTGAAATTAACAATACAGAATTACCAAATTTGGATGAAAAAACAAGATTACTGATTCTAGAGAATGAAATCAAGTCATGGAAAATAATCAAGAATATCATCTTGGGAATGCTCACTTTGGAACAAGATTCAAGATGGGATAATGAAAGAATATTTCAAGAAATATTTAACGACACTACTGAAATTGACCGTGAAAACTTTGAATCAAATTATAAGAATTTGAAAAGTGAGTTCCTTAACAATGAATCTGTTGTAATGTCTGCTTTGAGTGAAGATGGATTAAATCTGAAATATGTTCCTACAGAAATGCATGAATTTAGGAATGTGATTTTGAGAGCTATCAACCAAAATGCAAGCAGCTATCAATTTATTCGTTCTAAAAAATGGAAGTACTCAAAGAATGTCATGGAACAAGCAGTTAAAAAGGATGCAAGAGTGATAGAACTCATTCCTAAACAAATGGTCATGTATTTAAACTTTGAGAGTGATTTAAAACTTGAGTTACCAAAGAAAACAATCCAAGATTACAATGATTTGGAGAAGATGAAGAAAATGGTAAACATTGATGGTACCTATTTACAATATGCTACAGATACATTGAAAGGAAATGTTGAATTGGTTACTGAAAGCGTTAAAAATAGAGGAATAGCTCTACAATTTGCATCTAACACGATGAGAAGTAATTATGACATTTGTTATTTGGCTGTTTCTCAAAATCCTGAAGCTATTCAATTTGTGGATGATTCTCTTCAACAAAATGAAAAAATTGTTGAAATTGTTTCAAGCAGTTCTCTATATTCAATCAAAACATTATCAAAATTACCAAAAATAGAGAAAACCAAAGAAGAATTAGAAAAGGGAGCAAAAGAAGGAAATGCAGATGATCAGAACAGACTTGGAGTATTATATTACAATGAAAAAGATATCTCTAATGCAGCTTTTTGGTATGATCAAAGTGCAAAACAAGGACATGGCAAAGCTCAGTTCAATCTTGGACTATTATACTACATGAATAGCCTAATGGAACCAGCCAAACATTGGTTTCTTAAGAGTGCTGAACAAGGATATGCTGATGCACAATTTAATCTTGGAGTTGTTTACGAAACCGATCAATTTGTGGATGAATCTGAAAGAAGATCTCAACTTGAGCAGGCATTTATTTGGTACATGAAAAGTGCTGAACAAGGACATGCCAATGCTCAGGGTTATCTTGCGCAATTATATGAATATGGAAGAGGTGTTGAGAGGGATTATTCTAAAACTATAGAATGGTATACGAAGAGTGCAGAACAAGGATTCGTATCTTCACAATTTAATCTTGCCTTAATGTTGCATCTATATGAAAGGGATGCAGAAACAGCTTTTTATTGGATGGGAAAAGCTGCTGAAAACGGACATACTGATGCTCAATTTAATTTAGGATGGTTATATCTGAAAGGAATTGGAACAGTTAAAGATTATTCGAAAGGATTCGAAATTCTTTCAAAACTCATGCCAACGGAAGATTCTGAAGTTTTGTTCAATTTGGCTTACTGTTATTACCAAGGATTTGGTACGGAGAAGAATATTGACCTCGGTTTGGAATTGTTTTTAAAGGCTGCTGAAAATGGACACATCGCAGCTCAATATAATATTGGAATGATTTATTTGGAAAAACAGGATTATCAGAAAGCTTTCGAATGGTTTAAACAATGTGAAGTACACAACGATCCTAATTCTCTTTTTCAATATGCCTTATTTTATTATAACGGTTCCCATATTGTTGAGAAAGACTATACGAAAGCTTTTGAATTGTTCCTTAGAAGTGCGGAACAAGGTCATGCACAAGCTCAATATAATTTGGCATTATTATACTTTAAAGGTATTGGAATAGACCAAGATTATTCGAAAGCAAAAGAATGGTTTCTTAAAAGCTCTGAAAATGGTTTGGTTGAGGAATCGTATAAATACCTTGAAGAAATTGATGAAAAGTAAATAAATAGTTATAATAAATTTGAAAGCGAGATATGGGCCCATAAGGATACGAATCAGAAGCAGTAATACGGATGCAATTCATTCTATTCATTTATCATAGACAGAAATTCACGAGCGCCAGGGTGGTGAGATTGTTTGAACCTGTATTTTAGCATTCTTGACAAGCAATGTTGAAACAAAACCATATGTACCCTTGGCTCAATTGGAAGAGCATCGGCCTACGGAGCCGGGGGTTGTGGGTTCGAGTCCCACAGGGTATAAATTTTTTTATGTTATCAATAT